GCCCATAAACCAAATCGATAAGCCAATCATTTATATAACTTATTCTTCCTTGTAAAGAGCTGCGATGACTAGTTATGTGGACCGTACGAAAAAGAGAAAGCAAATCAAAGAAAACGAAAAAAACTAAAAAACGAAAAATTAAAAATAGAAAAGGAAGGAGAAGAAAAAGAAAAAAAGCAAAACCTCATGCGGGCAATACTGTCGATAATGATGCCACAAACCGGAAACAGCTTCATTTAGCAGAGAGAAACATTTTTATTGAAAACTTACCTCCGCAAAATATACTCACAAATACAAACAAGCAATTACACTTTCATCCACTCACACTTTATATTGTATATACACACTTACGTACTTAGGTAATATACATATGCTTGGCTATAACCCTAAAATAGTATATAAGACTGCAACCAAAAAAAAGCGGGATAATAAAAATCCAAAAAAAATGAAATTAAATTCATCAAACCACAGTAATATTTTTGTTGAAAAATTGAATTATAACTTTAGTGGAAGTATGCGTAGTTGGTTGGTTGCTTGCTTGCTTTCGCATACAAAAAGCTCCTGTGCACACTGACACAAAGCTACGCGCGCAAACACATATATTTTATAAATATTAGAGCATTTATTAGGACATTCTATAAGCTCATTCCATTCCGTTTTCAGTTCTTATTTTAAAAAAATTCGCTTTTATTTCGCAGACTTTTCGCAATCCTTTTCTACCGACTGTAGTGCTCACTACTTTTGAATTTCGACTGATATTAACTGAAAGAGATGACATTTTTAATGCCCTTTTCCAAGCAAAAATTAGTGCGAAAATCCCAAACACGCTACGTAAGAACTAAGCGTTCTAAGTTTATAAAAAGTGTTTAAAAAATTTTCAATTGCAAAATTTTTATTAAATCATAACGTACTTGGGACATAGTTATGTGTGGAATAGCACGTCGGGCAAATGGCTTCCACGGCTTCGGTCGCACGCAGTTTCTCTTTTGATTATAATTTTTCATGATTATTTTGCATAAACGTGGCTGAATTTCGTTGATGCAACGTTGAAACTTCGCCTTTAACATACGGATTGTTGTGGACTTTGGGCATCCTCAAATCTTCAACTTCAACTAACCCCATAAGTCTTTGTGAATTTTTCAATTATTTTCTTCACAGTTGACGACGTTAGATCAATCAATACCCGAACCATATTTTGTACGAAATGTGCGAACTGTGGCCACCAATTTTTCATTATTTCTAAAATATTGTTTATTGTTAACAACGAGAACACGTTTTTCTCTTGTGCAATGTTTCATTTTTACTAACCCTAAACTGTCAGCTGTCAGACAGTTTTCTTTTTTTTTTTGGATTGTTAACACTTTATTGCACAAACGACGGGAAATTCAAATCTTGCGCAAATTTTATTATATCCAATATATATATATATATATACCCTGAATGAGACTTCTAGTTAAGCTCGACGGTATCTCTCACTCCACCTTCTCCTATACAGATCGTAAAATATTTTAAAAGTACGAGTCTGACAATCGCGTAGAAAATTCTGGAAGAGCACGATCGGTAGAGGTTTGAAAAAGTTATATTTTTCAGTAACTTTTAATCAATAGGACTCGTTTAGAAACTTAAAATTGGCTTGTTACTGGAACTCAACGAAAAGCCCAAAAAATTATGTGTAGTCAAAGCCTTCCGCGCAGGGTCATCGAAGTAAGAGAAATTTTACATATTTACGCTAACGACAATCGCAAGCGACAGATACGACGTAGTCTAGGAAGAAGGCAAACTTAACTTGGAAACCAATGCTTGGCGGACTTGTGACTGTTTTGCGTACTGAAAAGACGACGACGAAGTTTAGTCTATCAAATATGCAAAGCTTGGGTAAATTTTACTGAACAAATTTGCGAGGATATTAAGCTTGTGTGAGATTTTTATTTCGAGTGCCCGACATACACCTGACCAATGCATTCTCGGTTTTTTTTTTGGCATCGACTAGCCTCAAACGCTGCATAAACTCCGTCATGTAAAAGCTTGCAGATCGATCCAGGAGTAGAAGTAAATTTTAAGGCGCAATTGTGCATATGTTTTTCATTTTCTTTTCAATCGTTACTTTAAAAAAATTGTAGGGAAGAGAACAGCAGAAAACTGATAATACATCCTAATATTCACGTATATGCATATACATATGTTTTACTTGTAAATATATATATATATTTTCATGTGAGCTCATATGTAGATGTGTGTGTGTGTTTTATGTATATACATATATACATACATATATGGGCAATTTCATTTTGCTAACTCTTCTCGTTTCTTTTACCACAATTCTCCGTCTGTCTATTAACAATGTGCCTTACACCTCTTTACCTGCTTCACCCATTTTATATTCTATAGAATTCACATGAAAAATTAAATATTTCACATATATAAAGGAATCAGTACCAGCCCTACGACTATAAAATAAATTGGAAAAAAAACATAAAAATTATAAAATCGCATAAAAAATAGGAAAATTGAAAAAATGTATATATGTACATAAAAGATAAATAAATTGTTGCGGTAAGCCAACTAGCCAATCAACCAACCAACAACCACACGTACAAATATCACATCTGAGTTTATAATAAATAAAAACTAAATAAATAAAAAATTGAAAAATATTACTTAAGATTACCAATAAGCTCGGTATCAAAAGATAAGGAGAGCGAAACGTATTCTTCTTTATATAGGTGTGGATATACAAATAAAAGAAAATATTAAAAAAAGGAAAATAACAAAATCACGTTAAAAGTAATAATCTAATAGAGTTACTTGCTGCTTTTCATCCAGAACCTATCATCGAATAATTTTTTGCTTACTTTCCCTATGTTTGGTGTCTTACCACTCGGACGTATGCGTGTGTGTTCGTTAAAGATTTACGCAAACTTATACAAAAATGTTTAGTTTCATTATGTGTTTTATTTTCCAACGATGAATAGATAAATAGGTGCGTACATGTTAGGTTAGTCGTTACTTTCTTTTATCGTATTTAATAGTTAGACCATATAAACATAATGTTGCCTTGATGTTTCATTCATGTTTAATTTTACAATATCCCGTATGTTTTCCGAAATTATATGTTTAGTTATTACATCTATTTCAACTTTTGTATGTATATGTGTGTACCATGCTGTAGATATAAAATAAATAGAGCATACCTTTAGGAATTTATTTCTAAATAATTTCTTGCATAGTTTGAGATGCGCAGATAATCGTCTATTTGTTCAATTTTATATATCCGTAATTTACTGAAAAGTTAGTTATATATAAATTAAAAACTTGTGCATAAAAAACACATACACAAACAAAGAACAAAAATTCCATTCACATTCCACATGCGAAGTAAATAAATTCAATACGAGAAAAGGATAAATTTAATTCGATTTCTTCTGAAAATTGCGATACATACCAATTGTTTAATGTTCCTGGTTTCTTAAGAAATGAAACTTAACACGCAACCTAAAATAAGCTGCTCTGTTGTCATCAGCAGCCAAGCAAAGAAAGTGTTGAAAAAGTGACATCCTTTAGAAGACTAATAATGACATAAAAGAATTTCTATTACACAAGACCAAATACTACCTTTCAGATTTCTATGAATTGCGTCCAATGTAACAACGATACAAATATATATTGTTAAGTGGACTGAGGTAATCAATCAAACGTCGATTTTACATCTCGGTTCCCAGGCGTGTATTTTTGTGAGCTACAAATTTAAAATAAAAAATTCAAAACAAGCTATGAAAAGGAAGCAACCCAAAAGAAAGCATTTAAATCTTATAGGCCTACGGTTCTCGTCCGGTTTTTGAAAACGATGTTAGGATGCATTTGCAAAGCCGCAAACTATTTTCATAGAAAACTCGGAATCAATATTAATAACTTTGGTTTACGTATGTTAACAATACCCCATTGTTTTAATTGCCATAGACAGGCGACTAAAAATTTCGGGTAAAGATTCATAATGTTCCTGTGTAATTAAAATCTAGAAATGGGAGAAGTACAGTAATACCTCAACTGTGCTCGACAGTGTTGATAATGATAAGCAAATTATTTATTACGGCTGTTTGCCGGATTCTTGGAGCAAACTTACCCTTTGAAGAAGTAATATGATCAAACAATTCTGTCAACGTGTGTGCATATAAGAACGTGAGTTAGGTCCAATCTAATGATAAATTGCGATAGGGTGCAATGTAAATACAACACATAACCAGGAAAATATGCTGTCATCATCGCAGGGTCGCAACAAGATATACTTAATAGTCATCAATTCTATTGATGCTGCTACGTTAGACATAATCTACTCTTGGTTAGTGTTTACTCGTCCACGAGTCGCCTCTGGTTGAAACTATCAGATTATTATAAAGAGCTAAAAATTTTTAAATATAAGCACTTTTTATAAAAGTTCTCCATTTACCTTTCTGCGGTTAAGATGCCTGACAAGTTTTTACGGTTCTCACCATTTAGTTTGTATGCAAATTAGTTATGGAGCCGTAACCGCTTACAAAATAATTGTAAATTAATCAGTTTCGGTTGCCAAAGTTCGTTTTCGAAAGATAATAGATTTTTTCCTAAAATCTTGCTCAAATGTAAGACGAGTCGAAACAAAATTCAAAGTCTTTAATAAGTACCTCGAACAAGGAATTTGCATAGTTCTCGAAAAAACTGAGTTGTGGAAAATTAATTGCGTAAAGGAATGACTATCTCTTCGTACACACCATATTTAAAATTGAATTTGTAAAAATTAGTGACACTAGCGATAGTGCAACGATAAAATTATCTTTCCAAAAATTTGTAGAGAAATAAAAAAATGTATCTAATGGATGTTTAGACAAAAGTATAAACAATCAAGAGTCACCTAAGTTTCGTAATAACTATTATTCTTATATTATAAATATTCGGAAACATTTTGCATTTACAAGCTTTCAATTTTACAAAATATTAAATATGTTTTATTTATTTTTCATTTCCAGATCAAGTTATTAGCGAGCAAGAGGGAAAAACAGTTATAGTACCTTGCCCGGTGAATAGAGAAAAATGCGGTGAATTGCATTCACTGAATTGGTTTAAGGGTGACAATCGTATTGCAGCCATGCTGCTGGATGATAGTAACGTTACTAGTGTGGCAGCAGAATTTGAAGATAGGTAAACAAATGCGCCATAGCGTAAACAAGTAAAAAATAATAATTAAAATTTTTCCTCGGCATAATTTTATCGTAATGCAATATGCAGAGTTTCGGTTGAACAAAATCCATTCAGATTAATTATAAGAAATCTAAGAATCTCCGATGAGGATATTTACTTATGTGATACAACTTATTTTATACCAATTGAAACGTGTGATAATTTCAATGGTCATCGCGTGGAGTTAAATGTTTTAGGTAAGTTCTTTTAAGAGTTTTTACAAGAAGAACTCTTTTTTTTATTTTCTTTTTTTTTTTTTTTTTTTTTTTTTGTTATTTGCTTTACAACCGGAGCCAGTTTCATTCGTATTCTCGTCGAAAAGCAGAACAACATAAATGTGTGCTTTTATCTTTATTATAAAAGTTTTAATCAATTCTTTGTGTGGGCAACATTACTGGAAAATTCTGATACGGAAATTAAGACTTTTACATAGGCATTCTCCACAATAGTCGTTTGCGTTTTAAGAGTTCGGGTTGTTACTGCAAGTTATGCTGTGTTATGCTTTTCGATTACAGAATTATCAAAATTTTACGTTCGTTGCCTGTTTTTAAAGCATATATAAAATAATATCGCTCTTTAGATTTTGTTTTTGTATTTGTGTCTCTATGCACAAATTTGCATGTGTAAATGCTGTTAAATTAGTTTTATACTTTTTTGTTATGTGCGGTGGCTGCTAAAGCGGTTTTCGCATTTATGCTTAGTTATATTCTTTGTTGAAAAGGTACTGTAAGCGCTTTATGACGATGTTCATGTTATGTTAGGTATGAAAATTAAAAAGGAAATTATTAAAAGCACTAATTACCTTAGGTAAAATTAAAGAATAATTACGCCTTCACCAGCGCGATAGATATGTCGTTCATAAACAATTGTAAACAAACGTCCCTTCATGAATATTTGCAAATTAGAGAAATTCATTAGATGAGAGGATTTTTGGAAATCCATTAATATTCATATGTTTCTAGGCTACCAACGAATACATAAAGCCATTATGAATTAATTTCTCTGAATGGACATCTTCAAAATTATCGGTGAGCATTCGCATTTAGGGCACAGATTTCTGCATCGGCTTATCGTATATGCATCAACTGTAATAACATTTCTTTCTTCTTCATAACTTTTTGCTTTAAACTCTTTCGACGTCGGGGACCATCCGTTGAGAAGGTACCGAGAGTACTGAGAGCTTTTGTTAATCAACTTCTTTACTACAAAATCAGCCCACAGTAGCCCATATGTGCAAGGTTTACCACAAGTATGCGATGTATCGAAGGTATCAAAGAACTGGTGTGATTTGATGCCTAGCATTTCTAGATCAAATCTTCTGATATTCCAGCTTAGCATAGATTCTTTAGCTGATGTAGAATTATTTTCTATGGGGAGCCCAAGTTATCACTTACATATAACCTTACAAGCAACGAGGTTTCGTCTGATTAGATTTTAACTACTGATATACCCAGATGCAGATATAGTTTCGAACTTAGTTTTTTATTTATTCAGGTTTTTACATGATATGAAAGAATGGAAACACCCGCAAAACAGTCCCGCTTTTTACTTCAACCTTTCTTAGTGCACTCCTACAGGGTTTTGCAAAACAAAACAAAAATATGACTCATGACGTATATGTTATCCAGCTACTTTTTCAAAAAATTGCTTTAGGGAAAAACGTGCTGTTGGTTTGGATTGCTTTTTTTCGGAAAAAGTTCGAAAATCGATCGTAGACAACAACTTAAATTTGTTGCAGCTTAATTAATAATGCTACTTAGAAGCTGACTGCAGCTTTGTTACGGTAAGGGCAAAAAACACGGTTTCGAAAGAAACGGTAAACGTTTTCAAGATTCAATTTTAAAAAAATGTTTGCTTCAACTCTAATTTTGGATGCTTGGACCACACCAAAGAGTTACTGAATTTGAATGCGTCCACGTTGTTAATACTTTCCAAACGATCCATACATTCAGAGTAGGTACTCTACCACAATACTCGAAAGAGTGACTTTCTGGTTGATTTGAAATTTCCCTTTCATTCCTATTATTAGCATACGAAAATTTTCCACAAATATTTTGAAGTCAGTCTAATACAAAACATCATCTATATATTTGCAATCCGTATAACAGAAACATCCGGAATAAAGACAACAGTCGCGGTTTTCATATGTTTGCTTTAAATGTTGTCTCATGTGCATATAAAATTTCTAATTATTATAATCAACACATGTGGTTTGCTTAAGTTATATCTTTTCCCCACGTATATTGGACATTGTATTATAGTCGGTCAATTACTGATTTGGCCGCTTCACAGAAAATGATTTTAGTGACTTATGTAATATTATAGGCATGTGGAACTCTTTAATTCACACTTGTGTCAAAAATCAAATCGTCATCTATTGTATTATATAAGTTACTGTATTTTTAAAATATGTGAAGTTATTTTAAGTTATTAGATAAATCTGCGTTGGTTATCACTACATCACATCTCAAAATTTCTAAACCCCCCCATTTTCGAACGATCGAACTGGTTGAAATTGAATTAAACAGACCGCAGTCGGTGGATGTGACTACACTATTGCACACAATTAAGAATCATTAAAGCATAGTTTGCTGTGTAACAAACAGAATAGCAAAATGAACATATGTTTAATGTCTAATCTTGTGCATAAAAATATTTACAAACGATAAGCAGCTTTATTTTAATTTTCACAAAAAATTCAAGTTGACCTTAGCTTCGTTGCAGAGGATTATTATTTTTAATGTTTATACATTAATTAAGGCGGGATCACCATGGTAATGTTACTCTCTTCTGCTCACCTAAATAAATTTTAGCGGAGGATTACTATTGCTTAGTTCAGAATAAAAGTCGACAAATTTTTAAAAATGAAACTTTTTAAATCTTAATGCAAATACACAATGATTGATTGATATTGCACGAATATTAATCACTGCTTACTACTAACAGAAAGCAAAATGTTGCTCATTTTCACAATTCGCTGCGCTTTCTTAAAGGTTTACGTTAACTTTAATGCGTACACCTATGTATCCCCTGGTCCTTAATCGTTTATATAAATATCATTAAAATTATTTTAATATGGATTAAAATAAGTGAATCGTTAATGAACAGTGTGAGTCTGACATTATTATCATATTCCCGTTATGAGTTTATATTGAGATACGATTCCTTAAGAAGAAAAATATTTCAAACATATT